CCATTGATTAGGAACCTTTTGAGCCATGGGCTCGTTTTCTTGCCGGATTCGATCGGTCAGTCCAGCTTTCCTTTTCTTTATCAGTAATGGCACTCTACCTATATCACTAACCGCTGTGCGGCTATTAGCGGGGCTTGAGAGCGAGTCGTAAGACAGTCAAACGAGTTAGTCCCGTAACCCATTAGTGAGCGCCCAGCTACAAATACAAATATCTCCCGATCTAAACCGGTAAGACAGTGAGCCCGTGGCTCAATGGTTAGAGCGTTGAACTTCTGATCAAAACTTTATTGTTTCGAGCTTCGTGTGGGGCACCACTTGTGGTTGGTATGACTGGTTGATGACAACTAATGAGCCAGAAATGGTCATTCCAGTCTCCCTTGTCTTTGTCATTAATGCCATTCTGCCTCTCTCATGAGTTGCTGGTGGGGCTCAAAAGTTAATCCCATTAAGTGACGGGGATGAGCAAGCGCCCCGAGTGAGGACACATTTACGTAAACCTTGAAGTTTATTGACTTGTTTGGATAACTGATTGGCCAAAAACAGACTGCCACTTATAGGTGCGTATAAGAATGTGCCCGAGTCGAAAGGATTTTATAGAAGCCCAAAGTAGGACTGCTATATTCTTAATACTCCTACCATCCTGTAGTAAGATTCAGTAGAGTTGCATGTATGAAACAGTCTTTGTAATCGAATTTTCTTCTCCTTCAAAGTTGTTCCGATTTCAAACACTGAGCCTCAAGGCTCCGGAATCTCACTCTTCGATGACCTAGGTCATTATTTATAAGTTGCTATGATTACTTATTGCAATGGGAGGGTTACAGAATATCGTATTTAACACTGGCGCATCCACTTTCAGCCGCCTCGTAGCCTGCAATGTCGCAAAGTCGCGCTGTTCTTCCTATTCTTATTGGCCTGTAGACGATTTTTTCAACTTCCAACTCCATATTTTCTTTAAATTACTCCCTAGACCCTCATTCAACGCGCAGAACTTACGTTGCGCGCTTGACTACTTCTTAGAACGTGGCCATGAAGACATCCTGATTGTCCTTCATGGTATTCGACAGGCCTCTTGCTCCATGATATTCACGGAAGCGGAATTGGCCAAGTATTTCTCCTTTGCTTCCTGTCGCCGTCTCTGTAAAGAGACGCTGATCGCTGATGACGACAGGTTAGCCGTTTCTTCTTTTTTCATCACTTTTTGGTCTGCCTTTATCTTAACGGCTGATTATTCTGTAATTGCCGCTGTCCCAAAATTTTTTGCATCTTTTAAGATTTCGATAATATCTTTTAAATTAAATTGCAGGAGTTTCCTTGGTAGTGGACTTGGATACAACAGCCGTAGGTTGTTTTCATACGGTAACCGTGAGAAGGGTTTTTTTTAAGTTGACAAACCTGATTG